TTTAAATATAGCTATGCATTGATATAGTTGAAGCAGTTCTGTCACCTCCCTCTCCCGCCAAAAGAATTGAGCATTTGGTAAACGATAAAATCTTTATGAAATACTCAGAAAAACTGTGTTGGAATTTCATTGAACACAGTCAAAAGATATCATAAGACAAAGTAGAGGCAGATGTTAGATGTATTTTCTCTACACTTGAAGTACATTTCATCTCTGTTGCACACTTATGACTCCGCACATCAGTGATGTCACCATCAGGGGTCTTGCAAAATATATGCAAAGATCTCAGAAGTTAATAAAGAGTCGCTTGAAATATATCTGTTTACAGGATTAATTGGGATAGTGTACATACAAATGGTTTTCCTGGCCTGAGGTCCTCAGCACTATAATAATGCAAAAAGAGTGGCTATGTATGGCACATGCAGTGTTGATGCATTGTTGGTTTCTTATGTATTAAGGGATATAGCCAGTGAAGAATTAAGATCCTACATTGCCCTATGCAGGTTTTAAGTTTAGATCCAAACCAAAAATAGTGGAGGTGCACTTATCTTTTAAAACATTTATTTGTTTTGCCTTGCCTTTTGTATTGCTCATGTATAACATAGGAAATGCGAATGGTAGAAGGAGGGGGTAGCGCCTTTGTGTGATCTCAGAGGTAGAAGTAGTTGCAGTGGTAGTTGAATATATAAAAGAGGAATAACACAACAAAATAATGTAGTATTGTGGCGGAACGTACCGTCCTTCAACTGTTAGAAACTTTATTATGTTCGGGATCTTCCCTACCTGAACTCACCTAGCTCGGCTCCCGAAAAAGGACCCTCACTGCAACTTGTGTACCAACCGAACACCGACCACCCCCAGGCATGGTAACCGCAAAGGAACTAATTAATTCATGCTTTTCCTGGGTGGCCGCCATTTCGCATAACTGAACCCACATGTTTGAAGAAATGGTGGCCATTTTGTCTCCCGAACACAGATAGCGGGACATGGTGGTCGAGCGTCTAGAAACCTTTTCAGATATAAGACCTTGCAAACATCGGAGAAATTCTATCGCTACCTGCTCCGATTCCAGACCAGCTAGGAGGGTGCTCTTTGGGAGAAAGACAACATCAACCAGGGGAAAGTCAAACAACAATATACAGGTAGCGCCAAGAAAAATATAAACACAATAGTATATAATAAGAGCAATAAAAAAAACCCACAGGATATAAAGAGTCCACATTAAAACTTGGAAGAATAAAAAATATCAAATGGTACATCACAGGGGGCGGGACCAGGCTGCCGAGCCAACTGGAAGCCATCTGCTTAGGCTCCAGATCTGAGCCCATGAAAAGGGCCACAAAAAGACTATACCGACTGCTTCAGAGTCGGATTCTCCAATGCCACTGTACGGAGAATGACCCCAAGTTCAATCTGATACCCGCAAGAAGCCTATCGCACACCGAGTGAGCAGAGACTGCCATCCCTGGCCTACACGCCGCCGCGAGTCTGAACTCATGCGGCCATTGAATGCAGCCCGGCAACGCAGAGATACGCTCCACAGAGACGTCCGGGCAGGAGACACCACACGAGCAAAACCTCCCTGCATAAAGCAATCCCCCGGCTCAGGGCACAGGTCCGCTTCCCCTCCTTGGCCGGTGGGGGTTATCCCGGCGATGACTCTCATTACGGCGGGAGCTCCTGCGTTGGTCACACGCCGATCGCCTGCACTGGCAACGGCTGCATGAAGAACAGTCAGCTAGCAGATATGGACCCTGACATGGAGGGGAATGTTCACTTCCTTAGGGAAGCACTCTTATAGGGACTAAAGGGACATATGCAACCATCTTATGGGGCACGACAGTCCACATTTTCGAGCCCAGGATTGATCAGGCCACGGACGGATGACCCAGGCAAGATGCACTTATTTTTTAAAACATATCTGCTTTGTCTTGCCTTTTGTATTCCTCATGCATAACATAGGAAATGCTCTTAATTGTCCCCACAGCTGCGAGCCCTGCGGGACGGGAGTTTGCCTGCCTCCTGAGTGGCAGCACACTCTCTCTCGTGTATGAGCGGCCAATGATGGGTGAGGCATTCATGGACATCCAGTGTACCTACCGAGGCACCAGAGGGCCAGGGGAGGTGCAGGAGGCACTGGGACTGCAGACTCTTGAGGGGGGGGACTGCATGGACTCATGTTGCCCCCGAGTGCCCACTGTACTAAGGTGCTCGCAGGGGGAACGGACCTGGGGAATAGTTCGGAGGTCTGACACACTGGGTGACCGTGCACCACTATATGCACCGCGGATATCAAGTGCAACCATGCTGTTTCTCAGTTCTACACGCCACATCGACTTAGAAGAGCATGATGAACATTGATTTAAGTGTTACATTCATTTAGTATGATTTGCTAGCAAGCGTACATTCATTAAGTGGTTTACTTTTAAGCACCAGTTTTCATGTCCTCAAGGAATTTACGGAGTATTTAGGTTATTGTTTTCTGTTTGTAAATTGCAGTTATTTGTCTTATTTAGATCAAACCACAAATAAGCAGTAATATATAATGCCTTTTCTAAACTTAGTAAGGATGCAGCTGACTTACCTGTTTGGGCTTTATTAGGTGCTGCTACACTGCACCCATCTAAGACTTACTGAGCTGACTTGCGCTGTTTGACCGCTATAACACCCTTGTCGTATGTGCTTAACAAGATTGTGTACTGTTCTGACTCTGTTTCCCTAGCTCCACGTAAGTTAGGATCTTGCTCAATGGCCAGCAATTATTAGGGATTAAAATGCTTTAAAGCCCGACCATACATTTAATAGGAGCCTTACAGAGCAGATCTTTGCTCACTTAATTTGGCTTTGTTATCATACCCTGCAGTTTAATTTCTCGCGGTCATCATATACTTACTGTTAGGTAGATACACATTGCTCAGTAATGCTAAGATAAGAATTTACCTAAAATGTTACTTGCCCTACTCTAGTTTGACCTGTGATAATTTAGCATAGGCAACAGAGCATATACTTCAGCTAAGATCTAGCTCAAACTTTTACTGCTAACACACGCAGGCTGAAAAATAAGATGTTGCAAATGGCTTATTATTGCTTATGTCGGAACGAATATGTAATGTGTTATTTGTCTAATCTTTGTTTGCAATATTATGCCTCTGCGTAGCTAACAGAGCATTTATATTTCCAAACCCGTTATCTGTCTGCTATTATTTCACATATAAAATAAAAATCTAACACAAATGGTACGGCACAGTCTCAAAGGTGGCAACAGATCTTCTAGTCCTGGTATGGGACTTTCTTGGTAGCTTCGCTTAATAGCAATATATGAAAAGGAAGCAAAAACAGAGGCAAACCAATAGTGCAATATAGGTACTACATGGTAGGACAAACGACACTTAGATAAGATGTCAACTCACATATGGTGTGTGTATATATATATGTATGTATGTGTGTGTATATATATGTATATATGTATATATATATATATATATATATATATATATATATATCTATATATATATATATATAATCTATCCAGCTCTAGGTAAAACAGCATGCAGTGGTAGACAGTCCCCACTAGCAGGATATCCCTCTGGTTTTAGTACACAGTAGAATGATGGTAAATCACAACTGGATAACAATGAGGTAGCTCATATGGAATGACAAAATAACAGCCAATAGTGCTCTCTATATAGATAGGTAAGTATCAAAGTAAATAAATATATACTTACAATAGAGTGAGCAGACTAACTGCTCCATGTATCAAGCCTGGGTGGTATAATCCCCACCAGGGATTTCTTTGGTTGGTTGTCCACAGTAGGTAATGGGTCCAGATGTCAGGTAAAAGTATAAAAATAAATAAGTTCTAAAGATATATGGCTAAAAGGCAGGTAGTGAGGTAACCAAAATACTTTATTTAACAAAAGCATAAAAACCACTCAACCATAGGGAAGGCATTCACAAGTGTTTGTACAGAAACTCCTGAACTTTACCCCGGTGGTGTTTCTTTTCACTGAACAGGTCTGAGCGCTATTTAGTCAACTTTGCTCGGATCCGGGCTATCCAGGGATACAATACATCCTGTGAATGTTTGGGAGATTATGAATATGTTTTGTATGTTTTCCTGTAACTGAGAGATAATTGAGTTACAGTTTCTTGACTCAATTATCTCCCAGACACAGGGACGCCCGGGAGTGGCTTGTAATATTTTTGTATGGAGACCCCATGCTGGGGGTCTGTGTATAAATTAAGTGTCCTGCCTGCATAAATCAGATGACTCCCAGAACTTTGTCTTGTCTAGTTACTGGGGGAACACGATTTATAATCACATAAGGTTCCAGTCTGGCTGAGAGGGAAAATAGCGGAGGTCTGGTTGCCTGGAGTCTGCTACATATATTCTGTATAAAATAGTACAGATTAAGAAGAAGTGCACTTACTAAGTTTAGATCTTGAGTAGCTCTACTATGTAGCGCCTAGGCAGTATGATCCTTGCCTAAAGATGGCTGGTCTCTTCATTAATAAGGTGCACGACCTCTGAGATCACACCAAGCTGCTACCGCCTCCTTCTACCATATGCATTTTCTTTTAGACCAGAAGAGAGACTCTGGTTTGGGTGATTGAGCTGCCTTCAACTGCATATGCTAGAAATCTATATTGTAAATAATATAAGAAATGCATGTATAAAAAGACAAAATATATATGACGGTCCACAAGGCTCTTGTTTCCAGACCTGGAATTCAAGTGCAGAGGAACAGGATTATTTAACAAGCACAATCCACAGGGCCCTGGAGGCAGAGAGGGTGTTGGTGGGTCTGTGATGGCACAAATGCTTTATTAACAGAGGGGCAGCCTGGGGGGAGGGGGGAGGGGGCTAACTTCTGGCAGGGATGGTCGGAGTGAGGGCTCTGCACCAAATCTAACCCAAAGCTACAAATAAGCAGGGATTTTCTCAGGAAAACCACGATCCCGATATACTAACTGTGCATACCATGCCCCCTTACCGAAATATGTCGCCGTCGAAGCAAATGAAGCTCACTGAGCCGTTCCGACAGGAGAGAAAGGACCGCCACAATGCGCAACAAGATGGCGCCAACTCGGCCACAGAATCTCCGATGTCGGAAGGCACTTTAGAGCCTGATCTCACCCCAGACACATTAAGGGACAAACCTGTGACCAAAAAAAAGCATATATAAAATATACCTTAGAACATTAATCCAAAAGGACTTCCAGCAGATTACTACCTCCATCCACAAAGATATCGCAGATTTGGGTGAGAGGACCAACCACCTTGAAAATAAAACTGAAGACTTGTGTAGTGCCCATAACGAGGTGGCAGACCGAATACAGAGATTAGAAGAACATGCCATGATGAAAAGCAAACTAGCTGACATTGAAGACAGGTCACATCAGAATAATGTCCGCTTTCACGATATTGCAGACTCTGTCACTGCAGACCAACTCCCAGTCTACATCAAAGCACTATATGCCATTCGCTTGTACCAGAGTTAGAAGTCACAGCGTGGATGCTAGATAGAGTGCATCGCCGGCCAAGACCTGCCCACTTTACTGCTGCCACACTGAGAGATGTAGTGGCACACTCCCACTATTATAACTCAAAGGAAGCCCTATTAAACAACACCAGGAAGTAGCAAGAGCTACCAGAGCCGTACCATAATCTGAATCTCTTCGTAGACCTGTCAGCCTCAACAATGGCCCAGATGAGAGAGTTTCTTACTACAACAAAGACCCTCCACAACCACAAAATCCCAACGAAGCTATGGCGGAATGGCTCCCTGCACACAGTTTTGGAACCAGAGGTAGGCCTCAGCAAAATAAAGGCGTGGGGCCTGTGGATGAATCCTTAAGCTGTGTCGCCAGCACAAGCATCCTCATCCAGGGTACTGCCAGAATGGTCCACGGTAGGATCACAGAAACTGACCTGTTACAAAAGACTGGAAATCACTATGTTACTGTTTTAACCCACCGATTGATACTGTTTGCCACTGCATAAGTTAAGCAGAAAAGCACACGAATGGATTACGCGAACCCTTATGAAAGCTCCATTCGTGGTACGAACGGGGGACCCCCCAGAAACTGGCGTGTGCCGCCACTTAACCCCGTCACCCCGCAAACTACCGAACGGTCGACCACCCGGCCCTCGGAGTGTGGCAGCCATTAACCACCCAGGTGTCTGCGGTTTGCGGTTAACCACAACGTAATTGGTAGGCCTGGGGGCATCGACGTTCGCACCCAAAGTACCGAAGGGAAAATACCGAACTATCAACCGAACGACGACCCCCTACAGCGGGTCGCGTGGCGCTCGTTAACTTGTGGTTTCTGCGGTTAACCGCAGGTCAAGTGCCCTGCTCCCAGGTGGTCCTCATTCCCTTACCGAACGAGCCCACTACCAGACAGACAGCGGGACTTCGCATGAACTGATCCCGAGTTTAGTTCCACGAGTTAGACACGAAGTCCCGCTGCTCGCTAAACCAGCAGAAAACATGGCCGCCAACAAAGACTAACAATCTCAAAATGCCGAACGGACTTTATACGGCAGTAACAGTACATTCTGTTCGTGGGGTTAGAGCGCCCTTCGCCTGTTTTATATACACGAACGCGAGCCTTCAGATGAAGGGTAGAATGAGCGGTTTTCATGTATTAATATAAAAGTTATGGATTTTTATGCAGTTTTCTGGGACATAATAAAACGTGGTCTTTTGTGCGCTTGGAGATAATGAGGCCAACGGTTATACAATCTAATTATCTCCAAGCTGGGCGGGTACTGATTCAAATAATACACTGTACTGTGATTGGATATTTGTCTGTACTGTACCTGTATTCCATCAGGTCCACAGGGGGCTGTCCTTGGACCTGAGGAATCACATAAATTGCCATGCTATGTGCCAGTAAAGCCAGTTCGTTTTGACCCTCAACTTGCAGCCTCGACTCATGTTGTAGGGATCCGGGATATTGATGCTTATATCGTGCTTGGGGATATTCTACATTTGCAGTTTACTACCGAAAGACCTCCGTTCGACTCTCTGCAGCGGGAACCAGGACATCCAAGCGATCAACCCTCCTGCTAGACCGGGGACAATCGTAACATGACCTAACAAGTGGGACACCGGGTCTACTCACAGATACTCACCACAAGCTACGGGTTCAAGTCTGCCTTATGCTGTCTGTGGTTCATGAACATTCAGAGGCTTGCAAGTCTTCCTCTCCTAATAGAATTATACAAATGGACTCGCTGCAAACTCTCTGTTGGTTTCTTCAGACACGGTTCAGCGGTCACGTAAGATAAAAAAAAATCAAAACTAAAAAAACAATTTAAAAAAAATGTAGATACAAACCTTAGTTAGAATACAGAAGAAAAAAAGAATAAAATATATTTTTAAAAAGGGTTTAAGAGTTATAGAAAAAATGTAGATGTTAGGTTTACAATGTTATATAAATATACATGTTGTACGGTCCCCTTTAGGGATCAATGCAGAAGTCTAAGTATACATGATGTTTCATCTGGGTCCTCAATTTGTATAATGGGGCTTTAGTTCACATAGGTTGTATGCTCATAGAGCAAACGCTCCTGTGTAATCATTGTGGCTGACACACCAATTGAATATAGGGAAAGTGGCACTGTGTGCAAGGATCATATAACCCACATCAAGGTACTTTGGTATCCCGCACGTACATTAGCTCATTCCGATCTCGGGACTAATATTGATTAGGGATGCCCTCTCCCCATCCCATGTAGCCCAGGAGTAATGTAACCCTAATCTTTACCACTAGTAGCCATCACAAAAGAGAGCAATTACTGAGCATGCCCACGATTCCGTACGTTACCTTTACAGAAGGTGGGAGGGCAGGGTATTAACAATAGTGCTACAATACACTTATTAATTTTTAACGCCACGTTATCTTACCTCAATCAATGTCACCAGGAGTGTAAATTCTTACCTATTTTGTTAGTTATATTGCCTGTCCAATGAGTCTACCATAGGGCAAAAGGTCAGGCCCGTAGTTATGCTCTTACCTCTTAGACTATAATTTTGAATTCCAAACAGGAAATTACCTGCATACCAAAATGAATACATGGATTGGGGTGCTTTAGCCTCTCCTACCATGCTTTCCAAGGCGGTTGAACGGTGTATGGACCTCCGAATCCCTCACCAGACCGCAGGTTCCACTCTCCTCATCGAGAGTGATTGTATATACTTTGGTTGTGTTGCGGTTTGTGTTAATTTTTGTTACTGCATTGCCAGTGGTCCTTATCCAAATACTGAAGCTGATTCTGTGTCCCAATATACCCAATCTGATGGAGTTTCCCACACTCATGTGTTCCATAGTGAGCCCAAAAAAGAGTTCATTTCCTCATAGCCGTAAATGCTACTGTGCATTGGTTTGCCTCACCACGGTATGTATCAATTCCATATACACTCCACATAATTAACTCATGGCTCATAAGTTTTCTTTTCTGTCACTAAATGTGAATGGTTTGAACAGTCTGACTTTAGGTGCTTATCCATCCAAGAGCTACACAAGTCAAAGGCAGCGGTGGTGTGTCTACAGGAGACACATTTCTGTATCAAAGGTCCACCTAAATTCGATCGAAACAATATCCACAAGCTTTCCTCACCTAAATCTAAAGGAGTCTCAGTATTGTATCACACTGACTGGGTATTCCAACAGGAATATATTTACACGGACGACCTGGGCCGCATTTTGAACCTTATAGGGGCACTTAACGGGATCCAGGTTACAAATAACTCACAATCTATTTTTTTTAACCAAAGCACTGAAACGTACATCAAAGATAAGCAAGGGGCACACTATTATATGCAGGGATTTCAATAGCATCTTAGGCCCGGAACTAGACATTATGAGATTAAATTGTAAACAGCCACACACCTCCACGATCTCTCTAAGCCAAAAACTTTCCCAAATACTCCACAACCGTGAGTTATATGACACGTGGTGAGGTATTTATCTGTCTACACGTGATTATACCTTTTTTTTTTTTTTTTCAGTAAATCTAACTGACTACGAATAGACATGTGCTTAGTTAATAAATCCACCCTATTAAATGTGCTAGAAGTTCACATAGGCAATTAAACATTGTCGGATCAAGCACCAATTACGGTCACATTCAAAGCTTTATACCCAGCACGAGGGAGAGGCACATGGTGCATTAATGAATCTCTTTTAGACACTAACACCCATCTTACCAAAATTCAGCAAGCCACACAGTATTATTTTAAGGAGAACACCAACGCCTCCTCCACCATAACGGCTCAGTGGTTGGCCCACAAGGCTGTTGTCGGGGGGGGGTACTGATCAGCTGGGCTCTTTAAATAAAAGACTGGTGTGTGCGGCTCCTCCAGGAGCGCTCCACATTGGAGACTCAAAATAAATGCTCCCCATCCAAAAAACTGCCCAAAAGACTAAATCAAGTGAAGCATGATCTATATACACTATCCTTACAAAAGGCGGAAAGACAATTCAGACGCTTAAAGCTCACATACTACACCCAAGGTGACAAACCCGGAAAATTGCTGGCTTTCTGCAAACCAAAATCCCATACGTTACCTCCACACGCAAAATTGTATAATCCCAACGCGATTGTGGAAGAACTAGCTAGCTCATTTAATAATCTATATAATTTACGTTGCGATCACATGACGCACCAACCAACCACGGAGGGCATAGAGAGGTTCCTGGGGAAGATCACCCTTCCGCAGATTAGTGATCATCAGAGACAAGCGCTCGAAAGCCAGTTTTCCAAAGAGGAAATTAGGGCTGCTATTCTCTCACTCCCTAAACATAAGGCACCAGGCCCTGATGGGTTCTCCAACTATTATTTCATTAAATGTGAACCTCTTCTAACCCCCACCTCACCAAATTTTACAACCAATTTAAAAATTCAAGTCTAATACCACAGGAAATATTAGAAGCCCATATAATAACCCTGCCCATACCAGGTAAATTACCTGCTGAATGTGCAAACTTAAGACCCATATCGCTGCTGAATGCGGCTCTCAAATTATACGCCAAACTATAAGCATCTTGAATAAAACCCCTTTTGCCACACTTAGTGTCACCAGAACAAGCAGGTTTCGTCCCACACAGGCAAGTGGGAGATAATACCAGGCACTTCATCAACCTGATAAACTGGGCACAATCCATCCGCCAACAGGTGCTATTGGCACTGGAAGCAGAAAAAGCATTCAACCCTTTAAACTCGTCATATATGTATAAAACACTCACATTTGTATTTTCCGAATCCTTTTTATCTAGTATAATGGCCCTGTACTCTTGCCCATCAGAAAAGGTTTTTAATTCCATTTTTTTTTTATCCTCCCATTTCTTCATAACAAATGGTACCCACGAGGGTTGTCCACTCTCTCCCATCATTTTCATTCTGTGCCTGGAACCTCTGGTCAGACACATTAAACAGAGTAGAGAGAAAACAGGGGTAAATACTCCGGCTGGAGAAGCAAAATTGTCCCTCTTTGCCGACAATATCCTTCTTTTTTTTTTTTTTTTAAACTAATGCGGCTCAGGCACTTTCACAGCTGCTAAGTCTCCTGCACACATATGGTAGCGTGTCCTATTATAAAAACAACATACAAAAAACCCAGGCTCTACCAGTGAGACTTCCAATGGCAGTCTTGAATCAACTCCAGGTGGCACACTCTTTTGATTGGCGTAAATCCTCGATCACTTATCTGGGTATCAAATTAACCAAGTCTAATAACATGTGTGACGGAACCAACCTCGCCACTGTGCACTGGAGAAGCCTGGTTGCTCGCCTGCTCCCTTTAGACTATGGCCCCTGTTCTTTTACCCTGCAGAAAGGCTGGTTTGTGCCTTTCTGCGGAATGTTAAAGCCATGCTACCCCAGATCGCTATGCCATGGAGCCCAGCCGTATACTGAAAGA